CCCCGCCAGACCGTCGACGGTTGGATGTTTTTAGACAACTGTTATGGCGTAAAAAAGAGTGCTCTACAAAACGAGCTTCGGTCGTGCAACGGTTAGCATACGCTCCCGGGAACGGTTAGCATACGCTCCCAGATCTCACTCTTTCCGAGAGCTTATGCTAACCGTTGCACCACCGTCGCTCGTTTTGTACTGCACTCTTTTTAACGCTATAACGCGTTGTATGCCAACAGCCGACCGTGGACGGTCTGGCGGGGCAGCTGCTATCGGCATTGAATCCACTTGTGCTGACAGACATTTGATATTGATAATCAGTCAGAATTGATTCTATCTGGCTGCCACTTGCAGTGGAATGACGTTAATTCTAACTGATTATCGATACCCAATGTCTGTCAACACAAGTGGGTTTAATGCCGACAACGGCTGTCCCGCCAGACCGACGGCGGTTGGCTGTTTGCAGACAGCGTGTTATAGCGTAAAAAGGAGTGCTGTACAAAACGAGCACCGGTGGTGCAATAGTTGGCATACGTTCCAGGAAAGAGTGAGATCTGGGTTCGAATTCCGCCTGACGCAAATCTTTTGCACAGCACTCCACATTATTCGGTATACCATAGCATCATACTACTGCAAGTGGCAGTCAAATAGAAAAAGGATTCTGACTAATGTTTCACTATTTGTTAAAAATGTTTTCGTGCCAGAAAGCCCTTTTGAAATTCTTGTGGTGCGTTTGTACTGCATTGGAAGCGAATCTGAACAATGGCCCCAAAAAGTCTCTCAAAGAGATTTTAGTTGGAGGACGTGGATGTCTGCTTGAACTCTTCGAAAACAAGTACGCTGCTAATGAAGCATGTTCTCACATATAAGGCGGCTAATAAATTTTTTAAGCCGATCTCATTCGCTGGGTAAAAACTTTTCATAGGAGTGTTAGTGATCATTCGAAAGCTTCAATCTCTTGCTACAATTCCACTTCGCGGCCGGTTTATAATATCCTTTTATAACGCTGTAGCATTCAGAAAGAATGTTTAGTTCTCATTAGCCTTTCGCCTTCATTTTTACCACGCGTATAAGTCGCTGAAATTACGAAAAGCACATCAGCGTGTAGAGAATTTTCCGTAGTAGTCATTGCCGCTCCCCTTCACATTTTACACAACTATGAACTTTCTCGGTGACTTTGTTTACTGGCCAACTCACCAAGCGGGGCGATCGATCGTATTTGAATTATTGTTATTCAGTTGAGGATTTTTCACCGTATCAACAAAAACTTGAGATGGAAATGTAGATTGTGATACTGCAAAAATTAGTCTGCATGCTAATATATTTTGCTTCTTCTAGAGAACAACACGTGTAGTGCAGATAAAAGCAAAACGCGAGCGAGAAACAAAATTATTTTGTGTTATAGAAGGGTGTTATGTAGTGACAGCCATGGGTAGTTGTTGCCGGGGATTCCAGCTCTCGAATTTTTACTAACACTCCTATAAAAATTTCTTATCAACTTGATATCAACTTAGAATTTGTTACCGTCTAACATATAAGTATAACGAAGCACTTTACATGATTGAATATATAAAAGTGAGTTTTCAGCTGGATGTTTGCGCAAGTATAAAAAACTCGTTGGTCGAATACTCTAAAGAAAATGCAACGGCTCGTACGAGAAGTGATTTGACGATGAAGGAACGCACAGCCTTGAAGTTTTCTAAGTCCTAACCAGATGCGCTCAATGATTTGCTGTGTATTAGAGTTTTCATGGTTGAGTTCAAAGAATCAGACGTCAACCGTGCTCAAAGAGCCAAAAGGCGTTCATATTTAGACCTTTCATCGCTTGAGCGCCTGGCGTGTACGAGTCTCGGTGCTGAAGTTCTTACAAGTGGTCGTCCTCTTCAAAATTTATGTACTAGAAGTTGCGCAGCGGCACAAAAGCGTGGTGCGCTTGCTTCTACAAGCGCTCAGAGATCGGCAGGTTGATATTTTTGTGCAGTAATTGCAGATAGGAAAAGAGCTCTTTTTTCAAATAAAACATGCTCTCGTAGGTGGAAGTGTATGTCGAGGCTTCACGATACATGATGACCCTTGTTCATTGCGATTATACCATAGTTGACTGTCTCTTCGTAATGAACGATTCTAATCCAAATTCTTCTAAACTTTCCTGAAAGCGCGCAGACAAATCACTGGAATAACGAGCTGGTTTGAGGTTCAACGTTGTTGACGATTCGCTCGGGTCGCTGCAGGAACAACTGCGGAAGTTTGCCGCATGAGACGATAGAGCTACGCTGCACTGTTATGTACTTGCCATGAGAGCGATTGTAATGACACATCCATACTCTACTCCACCATTTATAATTTCATTGTTAAAGTAGTTATGCGATGTCAGTACTCACAGTGCCGAGTTACAGGCAAATAATCTCAAGATATGACTCTCCTTGTATTAAGGATGCCATATATTAATACATCTATTCGTTAAGTCTGAAAAAAATTAATTCACTTGTGCTAACAGTACTTGAAGAGACTCTTGCATAATAGTGATTATCTGAAACTATTTTGAGAGTGCATGTAACTCCGAAAGTCGATAGTTGGATCGTGTCCCATCACTCATCAAGCCATCCATCGTTACAGCGTCGGTAAACAGGTACCAAATTTATCTGGGATAAGCAGCACTGGCTCGATACAGCGTAAGGCCTCATTGAGTCATTGTGTAAATTAATATGCATTTAATCAGCTCATATAGAGTTAGAAATTAAAGACGAATGCATGGTGCAATCCTCACGCAGAGTGTTTTATCCTCTACCATTTTATCTTTTGTTTTCGTATGTATAGTAAGAATTTTGCCGAAAACTCAGCTAGAGTTGGAATTACACCAAGATCGTGGTAAAAAACTGATCATGGAACGAATTTCATCAATAGATGAAGACAAGCAAGTGTCTTTGTTGACAACCTGTGCACTGTCATATGATTGTAACGAATCGCACGAATCAAATCGAACAGAGTTAAGCGTTTTACTATGTGAAATCAGCAAGTGCTCCACAAAAAATGTACATTCAATTCCAGCTAGATTTGGCTTTCTTCCTTAACACCTCTTAACTTTCATGAAGAACGAAGGAGGACGCTAAGAACAATGTTCTGTTTAGAAGGGTGCAACGACCGCCCTTCGAGAGTTTCGACGCACTCATTACGAAGACTGGGAGAAGACAATGAATTTACTAGGCTCAGAACTTCTCTATAACATTGAGAATGCCATCGCTCCTATTTACTATGCTTAATGTGATTTTTTTCCCAGAAAACTGGTAACTGCAATTGAATCCGTTTTCTCTTAATCTTATGAATATTGTGTTTCTGCCGAATGTCGATAATCCTCTCATGTACTTTCTATTCCTTGGCTAATGATCAAAGGGTACGAAGACGGAGCGTAAATCGAGAGATCTATTTTTTGGTCTACTTGTGTTGACAGACATTGGATATGGATAACCAGTCAGAATTCTTTTTATTTGACTGCAACTTGCAGTGGTATGATGTTATGGTGTACCCAATAATGTGGAGTGCTGTGCAAAAAGATTTGCGTCAGGCGGAAATCGAACCCAGATTTCACTCTCTGCCTTAGAGTATTCTAACCATTACACCACCAACACTCGTTTTGTATAGCACTCTTTTTTTACGCCATAACGCGTTGTATGCCAAGAGCCAAAAGTCGACGGTCTCGCAAGGAAGACGCTATGGGCATTGAACCCACTTGTTTTGACAGACATCGGACATCGATAATCAGTCAGAATTCTTTTTATTTGAATGCTACTCCAGTGGTATGATGTTATGGCATGCCCAATAATCTGGAGTGCTGTGCAAAGACATTTGCACCAGCCGGGATTCGAACCAAGATCTCACCCTTTCCGCGAGCGCGTGAGAACACTTGCTCCACCAACGCTCGCTTCGAACAGGACTTATTTACGCCGTAACGCGTTATATGTCAACAGCCAACCGTCGACGGTTTAACGGGACAGCCGCTATCAGCTCGGTGAATTCCGCCTGACGTAAGTCTTTTTGCACAGCACTGCATATTAACGGGTACATCATAACATCATACCACTGCTGTGGCAGTCAAATAAAAAGAAATCTGAGTGATTATCGAGATCCAGTGTCTGTCACCACAAGTGGGTTCAATGCCGATAGCGGATGCCCCGGCAAACCGTCGGCGGTTGGCTGTTGGCATATAACGCGTTACGGCGTAAAAAAGTACTGCAAGAATCGAGCGTTGGTGGAGCAACTGTTTGCACGCGCTCCCAGAAAGAGTGAGATCTGGGTTTGAATCCCGGCCAACGCAAATGTCTTTCCATAGCACTCCAGATTATGGTAGGCCATAACATCATACCACTGTAGTGGCAGTCAAATAAAAAGAAATCTGAGTGTTTATCGAGATCCAGTGTCTGTCACCACAAGTGGGTTCAATGCCGATAGCGGATGCCCCGGCAAACCGTCGGCGGTTGGCTGTTGGCAGACAACGCGCTATAGCGTAAATAAAAGTGCTGTATAAAACGAGCGTCGGTGGTGCAACGTTAGTAGCATTCTCTAATGGAAAGAGTGAGATTTGGATTGGATTCCGAGCTGACGCAAGTCTTTTTGCACAGTACTCCACATTAATGGGTATACCATAAATTCATGCCACTGCAGCGGCATTCAAATATAAAGAATTCTGACTGAGTATCAATATCCAATATCTGCCAACACAGGTGGATTCAGTGCCGATAGCGGTTGCCCCGCCAAACCGTCGACGGTTGGATGTTTTTAGACAACTTTTATGGCTTAAAAAAGAGTGCTCTACAAAACGAGCTTCGGTTGCGCAACGGTTAGCTTACGCTCCCGGGAAGAGTGAGATCTGGGTTCGAATCC